ATTATGCATGTTTACGTATTTCCTCACTGAAAAGTTTAACTTTGAATGTCAAGCTTTTATTATGTTATATACAAACCACATGACTGTTATGCTATAGCCAAGAAATTTCATTTATTTGTTTTGCTAAAATATACTCTGCTCAGCTTTTGGTTCAACATCCCTCTGAATACTATACCATTTATTGCAAATATATTTTGGCTTTCAATCAGTTTTATATGAGGTTGTAGTGCTGGAAATGATTTATTTAAAATATCAATCTCATGGTAATAAAAAATGGTGAGCTTTAACTTAGTTTAATATTACAGAAAGAAACTCGGCATTGTCACTAGGCCTATACCAATCCAAAGATGAAAAACAGATGTAATTTTTTTGTAAATAAACATCAGTATGAGCTGTTTTCTATCCAAATAAATTTTGTGCTTATATTTTAGTGTTTCTGTCCAGAAACTTTCAGGCAAATCCTGTTTCATTGTTTATGAATTTTGGAAAAATAATGCCTGGAACAGGTAAGTAGGTTTCTAAAACACTATTTTTCATCAGCATAATCATGCTTAGGCAACATAAGTACACTGTGTGTCAGTCTTCTGCATTAATTGGTATAATCAGCAGCCAACATTGTTACATTTATACCGTTCTGAAAAATATCAACTTCCTATTTCAGCAGTATTGAACCTTAATATATAAAAAGATTTTTGTCACAGGAAAGCAATGTAAAACAATGTGATAAAAGCATCAGTTGGTTCTAATAGATTTAGGGATGAAAATTCATCAAAACTTTAATGTGACAATATTTTTACATGTGAAAACTCTTCTGGTATTCCAGAGCAAATACCTCAGAAGTCCATGGTGGCTCTATTTGTTTTTAGATCAAAAGCTCTGTGATAAAACAATTCATAACTGCACCCAACCTCATTGACACACTTTAATCACAGATCATGTTTCTGAATGAGTTCTGCCTGGTTATGAGCCTGTGCACATCTGAAGCATTCATTTGTGAATTGGAACAGCTAGGTTTAAATTGGGCTATTTTTATTATTCATGATTAATTTAATCATTTTAATTCTATAAAATGTAAACCAGAGTTTTAAGTATGGTTTTGGGTAAAATAAATATTATTTATTTCTCTAGCCATCTCCAGATGAATTATAGCAAGTCATTCCAAAGAAGTAATGTAGATTGCCTGGAGACTCCTGAACACATTACAACTATGCTTGTTCCTGGTAATGATTTTTACTTTAAGAGTTTGTTATTTTCTTGTGTTCTTCTTTCCAATTGTTATTTAGTTCTACTCTAAGAAACAGTAACAAATAATTATCCATTTGGAAATTTTTTATTAAGAGTATAAATCTCATTGAATACATGGGACTTGCTTCTAATAATGCACAGAATGGCATTAGAGGTTAACAGAGGTGTATTTGTCAATTCCAAAGTTAGTCATAACTTTATTTTGCTTTGCTTTGCTTTGGCAAACTGTAAACAAGACATAGTAGTCTAGCTTAGCTGCACACATAATGCCAAGTTGTAAATGTTGCAAAAAATGGCTGAATTTACCTATAGGTAGTCCTGAACTAAGTTTAGTTTAGTTTAGTTTAGTT